ACCCCTAACCCTAACCCTACATGAACTGTGAAACGTCAATCTGTCGTAATTTGTTGTTGGACGTGTGAAGGAATCGAGCTAGAGATGCCGAGACTTACTGAAAATCAACGGAATGAAGCCATGGGAATGTCCAGGGCTGGCATGTCTACACGTGCTATTGTCAGACACTTCTATTGTCATCAGTCCACTATTGTATGGTTGGTGGAACGTGTTCGAGTTACTGGATCAACACGTGACCGTCAACGTCCTGGTCCACAACGCGTTACAACCCAGGCTCAAGACCGCTACATCTGGGTCACTCATCTGCGTGACAGATTTCGCCCAGCGACTCGAACAGGTGCAGCAGTCGTCGGAAGACAAGGACCAGTAAGTGCCAACACCGTAAGACGCCGTGGACTCCGTGCACGACGATCTTATGTTGGAGCTATCCTCAGGGATCCTCACCGTCAGCGGCGTTTGATATGGGCTCAAGGACACCAGACATGGAGAAGAGTAGACTGGCAAAGTGTGCTCTTCAGTGATAAGAGTCACTTTCATCTTTATCGCGCTGATGGCCGTCAACGTGTGTGGAGACGTCTTGGGGAATGTCTTGCAGACTGCTGCGTCTTCGTAACGAATCGATGGGGTGGGGGAGGTGTAATGGTGTGGGGAGGCTTCACATTTCATCACATGTGTAGGGGTCGCGTTAATGCTGTAGCCTACCGTGATGAGGTCTTGCAACCAATTGTTGTTCCGATGTTTCGAGCGCACCCACAACTTCAGCACTTCCAACAGGATAATGCACGTCCGCATACCGCCCGTTTTAGTATGGACTACCTGGCTTCTAACAACATCAATGTCTTGAACTGGCCAGCCATGTCTCCGGACATGGCACCGATAGAACATGTCTGGGATGAGATTGGACGCCGTCTGTATCGGAGATACAGACGCACACCATTGCTGCTTTAGAAGCTGCTCTTGTCCAAGAATTGAACAATTTGCCCCAGGCCTTCTTTCAAACATTGGTAAATTCCATGCGACGTCGCTGCACAGCGTGCGTAAGAGCCCGTGGAGGACACACGCGCCACTGACATCTGTGTCGTACTTTTGGTTTTGACCCCTCTGACTTTGTATCGTTGATTACAGATTAAACATCCATAAGTGTACAAATGTGTTGTTATTGATGTGTTCCCATTTGAATATTGTTCACAATAAGAAGCAAAATAAATAAGGTATGTTTACAGGATCATTTTGTTATACGAAAAACTAAGTGATGCGTTTTCCATGGCGCTCAGTATATATGTAGCATTTAATGCCCAAAAGAAAGACATGCAATATGTATTTAGCCCTGACATCATGCCTGTATAATTACTCTTGACTTTAAGAAAGTTTAAAATATGATTAATGTATTAGATCATAAAATATACAGTGTAACTTTATTTTTATAGATGATTTGTGACTCCTAATTCAGAATTACTTCTTTATGTGCTAACTGGCCCTAACCCTAACCCTTAGAATACTATGAACTATTGTTTTACAAAATATCGTCCCGTGTGCATAAAAAAAAAAAATTGCACGAGATGCACATGAAAAACCCAATATTCACGTGCAGCATTGTGTGTGAGCCCTTTAAAAGCATGTTTTCAACTTAATGTGCAGTACATGAACTGTGAAACGTCAATCTGTCGTAATTTGTTGTTGGACGTGTGAAGGAATCGAGCTAGAGATGCCGAGACTTACTGAAAATCAACGGAATGAAGCCATGGGAATGTCCAGGGCTGGCATGTCTACACGTGCTATTGTCAGACACTTCTATTGTCATCAGTCCACTATTGTATGGTTGGTGGAACGTGTTCGAGTTACTGGATCAACACGTGACCGTCAACGTCCTGGTCCACAACGCGTTACAACCCAGGCTCAAGACCGCTACATCTGGGTCACTCATCTGCGTGACAGATTTCGCCCAGCGACTCGAACAGGTGCAGCAGTCGTCGGAAGACAAGGACCAGTAAGTGCCAACACCGTAAGACGCCGTGGACTCCGTGCACGACGATCTTATGTTGGAGCTATCCTCAGGGATCCTCACCGTCAGCGGCGTTTGATATGGGCTCAAGGACACCAGACATGGAGAAGAGTAGACTGGCAAAGTGTGCTCTTCAGTGATAAGAGTCACTTTCATCTTTATCGCGCTGATGGCCGTCAACGTGTGTGGAGACGTCTTGGGGAATGTCTTGCAGACTGCTGCGTCTTCGTAACGAATCGATGGGGTGGGGGAGGTGTAATGGTGTGGGGAGGCTTCACATTTTATCACATGTGTAGGGGTCGCGTTTATGCTGTAGCCTACCGTGATGAGGTCTTGCAACCAATTGTTGTTCCGATGTTTCGAGCGCACCCACAACTTCAGCACTTCCAACAGGATAATGCACGTCCGCATACCGCCCGTTTTAGTATGGACTACCTGGCTTCTAACAACATCAATGTCTTGAACTGGCCAGCCATGTCTCCGGACATGGCACCGATAGAACATGTCTGGGATGAGATTGGACGCCGTCTGTATCGGAGATACAGACGCACACCATTGCTGCTTTAGAAGCTGCTCTTGTCCAAGAATTGAACAATTTGCCCCAGGCCTTCTTTCAAACATTGGTAAATTCCATGCGACGTCGCTGCACAGCGTGCGTAAGAGCCCGTGGAGGACACACGCGGCACTGACATCTGTGTCGTACTTTTGGTTTTGACCCCTCTGACTTTGTACCGTTGATTACAGATTAAACATCCATAAGTGTACAAATGTGTTGTTATTGATGTGTTCCCATTTGAATATTGTTCACAATAAGAAGCAAAATAAATAAGGTATGTTTACAGGATCATTTTGTTATACGAAAAACTAAGTGATGCGTTTTCCATGGCGCTCAGTATATATGTAGCATTTAATGCCCAAAAGAAAGACATGCAATATGTATTTAGCCCTGGCATCATGCCTGTATAATTACTCTTGACTTTAAGAAAGTTTAAAATATGATTAATGTATTAGATCATAAAATATACAGTGTAACTTTATTTTTATAGATGATTTGTGACTCCTAATTCAGAATTACTTCTTTATGTGCTAACTGGCCCGGATCAGTTCACGACAGTAGGATTTGGCGCCAGTGTAAATTGAATAATCAATTTCAAAATGGTATGTACATGTATATTTTGTATTTATGTTATTGACTTTCAGCAGGGTTGGCAAACATAATAACTTCTAAGAAATAATATTACAGTGCCTGATACCTACAGTAAATGTATCACCTTTAAAGGAGCTAAGTCTCTAACTTAATACTTTCCATAATATTCGGAATTAAAAACACGAAATAGAATTCAATATTGATCAATTTCAATCATTATTGATGTTGTTATCTTGCTGTGAAACTATAGGACCCTAATATCCAATATTTAAGACACAATTAACATTTTATAATCAGTACACGAGTCGTGTACCCAATGGTTTCGGGTGCCATTTTGTTATGAACAAAAAAAAACATATCGTACAACAAAATGTGGAAGTAATTATATAATTAGTGAAGGAAGACCGATTCAAAAAAAAAATGTGTAAAATGCATTAAGCAGACGTAAACGACTGTATTTCAATTTGAAGGGTTCAAGTATTTCATCGAACATAATTAATTATAAATTACAATATATTTTCTTCAAAAATTGAATATAAATCACTTTAAATTTTAAATACATTCATATTACATTAATATGAGCTTTTAGAACCATTTTTGTCTATTTCAAGGTTCCAAAAAATAGAGTCATACTCTTTTTAAAATTTGAGTTAGCATGGACTGTATATAGAAAGTGTGCTTCCGGCTCGCTAACAAGGATGTCCCTGGATCAAACCTAGCATTGGCCTCTTGCCCATATTGGATCAAGCTTAGCATTGGCCTCTTGTCTATATTGCAAGTGTGTAGTTGTTTGTTTGCGCGTAGGGGTCTTTAGCAGTGGGAGGAACCCGGAGAAAACCCACGAGGTTGGACAGGCGACCCTACTCCTTGTCACGTACAACCGGGGATTCGAAACCACGCCAGTCGACTCAATGACAGACTTTATGATACAGCGCGCACGCTAACCATTCAGCCATCCAACCCCCCTTATCTGATAAACCGAGGACCCCCATACATAGAATTGTCAATGTACATTATTTCGAAAAAGCAGGGGACTATTAAAATGGGTTCGTCTGTCTGTCCGTCCGTCACACTTTTTGGGACACACTCTCTCTTGTTTAAAGGACCCGTCATTAACAACAGTAGGAAATCGCAAAAGAATACCTCATCTGTGCATGCAATATGTTCCTCAATGCTCACTGTATGGGACATGCACATTTGCATTCGGCCTGTAGAGAAGAAAATAAGCCATTAAACCCCAGTTCATGCTAAAATTGAATTTTATTTCCCCATGTAGTTGACCTTGAAATTAAAAAAAAAATCAGCATGTAGACTATCATCAGTCTGTCATCTTAATTTATATTTTAAAAATTTATTTTGTAGGTATTCACAATGGTCTGTTGATCGTTCTGGATATCTATGTTTTACCTATTTGATGACACCTTTTTTAAACCCAACAAATAGTCATGAAGAGAATTTTAACACCAGCTTATGTAGAATTAGAGTTTTAATTGAACAAACATTTGTAGTTTTAAAAAGAACATTTGCTCTACTGCATTGTGGCATAAGAAGTTCTCAGCAAGCTATCATTTACATAACTGCGTGTGCAAGTTTACATAATCAGATATTGATTTTTTAGATTTAGATTATGACGGAAGTGATGAGGCTGTTGCCTGTTATAACCGCATAATAGCATTGGATGGTGTAAAAAAACGTAACGAAATTGCCGCCAAATTCTTTTCATAATTGTTACATTATAGGTGATAATATTAAATGTAATACCTACTTACAGGTATGGAAATGTTTAGAGAATACACATCGATTATATATTAGCAATTCTTCTTATATTTCATTTGTTATAGTTTATTTCTCAACCCAGTTACTAAATATCTCTAAAAGATTAACATCGAATTTAGTTATAACAAATTTCAGTGGTGGAAAAGTACAAATCTATGTTTCATTTCAAACTTTTAAAGCGCACTGGAGTCAAACATGAAAAATAATAATCTATACATACATGTAGTTATTCAAGGATTAAATACTTATTTATATATGTAAATGACAGCTAGTTGAGGTGAAATTCTTATAAAGCCAAAATTAAGTAGAGCAAGTTACGAAATTAAGTCAACAGAATACAAAACCTTGTTAAACAAATCGATTGTTTCATTCCTTTAATTTATTTCTTTGGCGGCATAAAATTTCATATTCAACTTCCAAATTTTTCCTTTGTTCTTTTATTTTTTCAGTTCAAATTGTCGAGTTTGATGTTTTCTTCCCCAAGTGGAGTTAATCCTTTTGAAACTGTAACAGATAAAAGATACGTTATAGTAAAGTATTTGTCTTTATTTTTAAGAAATTGTCATGATATGTACCATATGAATTATATGGAATTACTTGAATAATTAAGAATTGTACCTTTTTGCCTTTTTGGTGTTGGTGTTATTATCACACTCTTGTCAAGAGTATATAAATCTTCAGTTCCTGTACCCGTGGCTTGATCTGTAAATATTTTGAGTATGTATCTGTTAATATTATTCCATGTATGAATAAGTGGTTGTGTTGGCGATAGTATCTGTAGATCTAAATAGGAAAATATCATATTTTATTGTAGGTTTACTGATTATTAAGATGTATCAATGTTTTGTCTAGTATAACATATCTATACCTATTGATTAGTTATTACTATTGTAATTGGAATAGTTATCTACCATCGGTATCAATACCAAATGTAATTGTAATAGTTATCTACCATCGGTATCAATACCAAATGAAAGGCCTTCAATCTGAGGTCTGCCCTCCATGGTGTTTAAAAGACGGTCTTCTGCGTCTGAATAAATTGGATTTGGTCCACCATCTGTTTTTGGTCTTTTCACCTGATCAAGTTTTTCTTTTCCTTTAAAAGTTAAAAGATAAATTTTCAATGTATGCTAATAGTACATTTTTTTTATAAATACTCATGATTTTTAAATCAACATTAATTTCATTAGGCCTATATCAAAGCTTTAAAAGGGCATGAATTAATTTTACTGAAAATTTGAAGATTTTCCATTTTCATTATGAATCTATTTTTAACTGTCAGTTCCTTATCTAAATCTGAAACATAATGTTATTACTTCTTTGTTTTATGTTATGGTACTTCTTTTTACCTCTCCCATGTCCCTCTTTTTTTATTATAAATTGTCTGAAATAGTAAACAATATAGATTTAGTTAGACTCCTAAATTGTAATTTATATTTTGACTGTAAATGTGATAGTTATTGATAATTTCTGTCACTGTATTATTATTTATTATTATTTATCAGTATCACCGTTTTAATAAAGATTAAACTTGTTGAACTTTCAATATTGATTTTAATTTTGACTCAGGAATAAGAAGTAGGGTAGTCTACATCTTCTAGGCTAAACTTACGAATTCAGAGCATCGACCACCTCTTGCCACCCATTTTCTTTGATTTTAGAAATTCTTCCAGAGGAAACACATCCCTACATTTTCCCAAATAACGTAGTCTTCCTTTTCGTGCATTCTTGTATCAAAATCAACTCATCTTCGTTTGACCAATTAGCTTCCCGCTTCCTGCCATCGCCTTCCATTTCGAATTGGTGCCAAAAGTGGCAGACGACATTGGAATTGGTTTGTTTACATTTTTCGTAACAGTGAACGTCATTGGTCACTTGACCTAATTTAGTAATCAGAAGCAGCATTTTTCTGTGGAGTTTTCATTCAAGAAAAACAACAATTCAATCGATCTTTTTCATAAATATTTATTCTATTCCAAGTGGGAATAAAGTACAATAATAATCATGATGTTCTTTTTTAATTTCCATTCATTTTTTTTTTAATTGAAAACGGCTAATATTACGGAGTTCTACCAAGATAAACAACGGTATCTAAAAATAGATTTTATTCCTAGCGATTTCATTGGCTAATAGATAGAGCTGACTCCAGTCGCTTGTAGCATTGAAAACAAATAACATGGCGAATTTACAGCACGCGATATACGGAATCGATGACGCCATTGAATGGAATACTCAAGTTGAGTAAAATTTTATATACTTAAGAATTTGCTCAACGGCTTTTGTAAACAGCAAAGTTGAGAATTATTCTAACCATTCGACCATCCAACACTACCCCCCCCCCCCCCTCACCCCCCGTATCGCGCTACTATAGTCGCTAGTCAGAGGGTATCAATAAATGCTTAGCGTACATCCTAGCTCGACATTTTAACCACATCCGCCATTTCGTGTCAAAGATTAAAGAGTTAATTTCATATACTATTGTCATTGAAGCTCACATTAAGGTCATGCGTTGGCCGGGAAAGTTCATTGGGATGTACATCGTGTTTCCTCCTTGTCAGTGGGTGCAGGACAGAGAGTCGGGGCAAAATTTCCCCCATAGCATACAATGGCGTTGCTTCTAATTGAGGTTCACACTTGGAATATATTATATGTTTATTGTAGCAATATGGGTCGCTGGTTAAATTTGGAAAGCTCCAGATATAAAAAAAACCTCACCACATACAACGTGTGACGCACATCCTCTCCTAATCCATATTTTATTAGCTAGTGATCGTCTAGATTTGTCTGGCTCGCTAGCCTGCAGGTCGGGTGTTCGATCCCTGCATTGGCCGAGAAAGTTCATCTGGATTTTCCGACGTGGTTTCCCCTTGTCAGTGGTGCAGAACGGAGGGCCTGACAAGGACAGCTGTCTAGTCCTTCGGATGAGACGAAAAACCGAGGTCCCGTGTATACATTGGCAGTTGGAATTCGATATAAGAGTAGGCGATAGTGCCGCTGCCCGGGCAAAACTTCCCTCATAGCACACTGTATGGCATATGCCCGTCTTCATTAGCCCAGTATAGGAGCAGAACAGTAGGACGTTAAACCCCATTTCATTTGTCTAGATTTGTCTCTGGTCGTATTTTGTAATTCTTTTCTCTTGGCTAAGACTCCTTTTCACGTTGTACATTTTTTTCTCCAGAACAACTAAGAATATGTTCTCAGTTACTTTAATACATCTTTATATCAAATCGGGTTTACTGATGGATCCCCGACATCATATGGCTCTCCTACGAATCAACGGGGTCTACTAAATCCAAATGGTGTCTCCTGAACTTTAGAATCTAAATCAGTCTTTTAACATGGACAGTGGCCTTGAGATAGCCCTGTCAATTATACAATGGCCTAATATTACGTAAGTAATAATGATGATAGGATACTTGAGCCTAATGATGTAACAGTAACTTTCCCTCTGGTGTTTTGAACAATACACCATTTATCCTTGACCATAGTTCCCATATCCTGTTATCTTCACAATATTTCATAAATAGGAGAGAATTTGATAGATATTTCGACAATAATTCATTCCCGCTAGTGTACTTGAAACATTCCGTCGAGGCCCAAGTCTTAAATTTAACACGTATTTAACAATATTATTCCTTTAAAGCATAAATCCCCTACTTATATTATTACCCCCCCCACCCCCATTTTTTAAGATTGATGCAAAATTATCAGGTAGGAGACCCTTAAAAATATTCCAATTTCTAACCCAACATCTCTGTGATTATATAATTACTCATGCAACATGCAAATATATATGATTACTATCCGAGTAACATACATGATTACATATGATCAACAATCCGCTTCTCCAAAAGTTCATCCTATAATAATTCACTTTAACCTACCCACATAAAACATAACTGTAAACACTATAACGTACACTAATTTATAAAGTTCAGTTTCACTTTAAATTGTCTCAGGAATTCTCAATTTGGTACATCGTACCCCCCTTAGGGGTGATAACAATATACCCTACGTTTGTCCTACGTGCCGTAAAATGCGACTAAAAGGATCCCTGTAATTGGGCAACGTGTTTGCCGTGCATTGCGACCCGTGTCGGTGGAGAGTGGAATCCTGGTAATTGAGTGGGGATTTGGCTTGCGAGCCCTTTCTTTTAAACACATTACTTTGGCCCATGGTTCACCTAAACGGGAGATCAGAGTGACCCACTTTGATCTGAACAATCGGCTTTGGTCGTCTTTAGCTCTGTAGAATGTACGTTTTTCCAATTTCATTGCTTTGTTGTTTTGACTCAGCAAGTTTACCTTTGTGTCCTGAGTACATTCTACAGAGCGGCGGCTTGGGTCAATCAGGTTGGCTAAGTATTTATACTTGGGTATACCCCTCGTCGAGCCCTGAGGTAATGCACTGGTAGTCCGTGCTAGCCCCCCCCCCCCCCCCAATGGTAGGCAGGTAAGTAACCTGGGGGACGACGAGGGGTGAATTTTAAAAAAAAAATATTTCATGGATTCCTCAACCGCTGCCCCCCCCCCCCAACAAATTAATAAAAACAAACAGAAGCGTCCTAATACAGAGGACGTTTCCGATTTATTTACAAATAATTTAAAAATATCAAAGACATGGCCGAGGTTTCTCTTAATTGATAGTCCCTCTACTGACCTATGGAAGGTATCGCCATTCCGCTGAGCCCAAGGCTACTAAAAATACTTAAAAACGGAACTCTTTTGATAGAATGCGCTAAGGAACAGCATGCTACTTAAATCAACACCCTAAGCAGACATTCCTATCAAATTGTCTCCACATAAGTCATTAAACTCGAGTAGAGGTGTAATTCGCTGTCAGGATCTCGAAGGCAGCAGTGAGAAAGAAATGGTGGAATACCTTTCTTCTCAAGGCGTCCAACATGTTAAAAGAATAAATGCACGCCGAGGAGATAAGGTGATTCCAATAAGCACCTATATCCTCACTTTTAATCGTTCCGACATTCCAAAGACTCTCAATGCAGGTTTTCTTAACATACCTGTTGATTCTTACATCATTAATCCAATTCGATGTTACAAATGTGCTCGCTGTGGTCAAGATGGCCATGAGAGCGC